TATAGGGTGCTGTATACCAACCCCCCACCCTATCCAGATTAGCATCCTGGCTTCTTTTTGAGCCCAAGTTATTTATGGCAAAATTAGGTTTTACAGGGGATCAGTAAATAACATGTTCGTGCAGTTTAATAACATTAGGGGCGAATCATGGACGATTGATCTGAATATCAGGATGATCAGTCCACACGCGATCAGAATTAATCCACAATTACAACTTCCCAGAATATTATAGTAAAAGGATTAATTCCATGCCACGTGGGTGACGTAATTGTCCGTGAATTCATCCTAATACACTGAATGACCACAAGACAACAATTGATTTAATAAAAAGACATTTAATTGCACAAAACATTAAAGTACAACAAACAATGGACAAACTTCATGGAGGTATGAAGCAGGTTGAAAAGGGCAGAGATGATATAAGAGTATGTGATGCATGCAGTGTATGAGAGTGTTTGTGGAACGGGTGTCCTGATCTTTCATAACAGCTTCCTGTCGATCCTTGCCCTGAGGGGGGGCCTTTAGAGCCAGGACCAAAGTGGTTCCAGTGGCAGAGCCCCCTGGTGGATGGTATGGTACCTACATTGGCCAGTGGATGACCTTAGAAAACTGATGGTTCCGTGCAAGAAACATGCCAATGGGACCTAGGATAATTATATGCATAATTTTTAAATATCACCTCAATGTTTTTCTCTGTGTGAAGATTAGCTCATGCAATCATATTTGAATATTAGTCAGTGATCTTGCAGACAGAATTTTGCGCTCATCATGAAGCAAAAGAACACTTTTGACAATATGCTAGTTTTGCCAAAAGCATATATAGTGCTACATAATTTGCAAAAATTAAGTGGAATTATATCATTTGACCTTTATGCAATACCAGTGAAACATAGTCATTAACCAAATAGAGAGTCAGTACTACTGTAAGTACAATGTTTTTGTGCAATACACCCTCCTCTGGCAAGGTTTTAGAACTGCAATAAATCAACGATTTTGATAAAGCATCTTCAAAAAAAAATTTAATAGTCTAACAAAATACATATAGATATGTTATAATAAAAACCTCTTCAATAAAAAAGGTTTTGTACCTTAGTCTTATTTCCAAAACAATAAAAAATATACAGGAGGAAACTGCCTTGATGTGTTAAACGCTAATCAAAGTTGGCGCTGGAGCTCACAAGACATTACAGGTTTATACCAAAATAAAAAACCAAGCAGAATATTGGATTATACACGTTGATTCTCAGATGTGCTGGGGAAAAAAGTTTAAACCCCAGAGAAAATAAATAGAAAAATACCATTAAAGTTCGTTCTACTGGTTTTTACTTCAACTAATGGGATCCAGCTGATACTAGTATCTTCAGAGCACAATCAGTTGTCACATTTAAGAATCCGGGAATAATAATTAAAAAAAATATATTATTATTATTAAAAAACACACAACATTTTGGGCATTTCAAGATCAAAACCAGCCTTGGCAAAATAACTCAATTCTTTTTAAGGTGCACTTTGTTTAACATTAAAGTAAGGACCAAAACAAATACTGGTACGACCTTTGCGTCAGTGTCAAAATATGCTATTCATTTACATGATTGTCCCCTTTGTTTTTTAAAAAAGCATACTGCATTGTTTGAGAATGTCAAAAAGCTTTTAAGTACCTACCTTGTAGCGGCTGATATGAAAAAAGCATTGCATAAATACATACATTCACAATAGCATGGTGCTGAAATAATTAAACTGCTTTAGCAATAAGGTGTACCAATGTCTAGGACAGAGATCCTGGCCTCATGTTTACAGCACATACAATTCCTTATCCCTGCCAAAAAAACAACAGTAAATATAAAATGGCACTTGAGAGACCACATGCCTGTAAAACCTTCAGAGTGGCACCTCTCTCATTTGAGAACATGGACAGTTAGAGTGGTGTGAGGTACTGTTTTGCTGACTCTTTTGCATGCTATATTTGCAAATCTGCTAGCATGGCAAATACATGTATAATTTTTTACTAGCACGTTAAATCTTCTATTGGTTAAAATCTGTAGCTGTAGAATATTGTATATTAGTCTAATTGGATGGGCAGAAAAAGGCAGCACCCTTCTGGGCATTATATTGACCAAGGTAGAGTTTTAAATGAACAACCAGGTAATTAAATGTTTGGCTACTGAGCCTGCATGCCTCAGTGAATCATGCGTATTTGAAAATTCCATTTTCTCCAAGATGATCGGGAACACTATCAGCTCAATCTGAAATTCAGCCACACAATAAGCCCTTGTAAGAAATTATTTTCACATGGAGTAAGAATTTCAGCTCAATCAAGTATTCATTAATTATATATTAAAAATGCGTTTTACTCAATATGGCTGTGCATACATTCACAAATCTTTCCACACAATATATACACTTGGGGGAAAAAAAATCTCTCAAGCAAAAACGAGGTACACAACCCAACAACATCTGCAGATAAAGTGTTGAAGGTGTAAATACCTAATGTAATATGTACATCATTATTACAAGTTTACAAGCATTGCAAAGCTTTGAACTACATACAGATTGCACAACATGCAAATGTATGACAGACAAAAAAGTATTTGAATTATTCAGTTACATAAAAACACAATGCAACACATTTCTAACGCGGAGTGCTGCCTCACATTTTGGAGAGAAATAAGAATTCTTTGCTGATGTGCATTTAAGGAGTCCAGTGTATGCACGACAAGCCATTTTCACGACTGCTACAAAACCGAGGAGGTGACAGAGGTTTGACCTGCAGTTAACTATGAACACACATTCAATAGTTTTAACGTCAAAAAACATAGAGTGCCCCTGAGCTAGCTAGAACTCCAGATAGTGCAAACAATGCTGTTGCTATGGAGACGTCACTCAAGGTGCTAAGAAGCATCACCTGGGGTAACAAGCGGAGAGGAAGCACCACATGGAGCGGGTGTCAAGCTACAGTCAATTCCACAAGGTATCCGGGTTTCTCTCCATCCATTGGATATTTAACTTGATTGTCTCCACCGCTTCACTCACACACCGCATTTCCGAGCCCTTGTCTTTGAGTGATGCGAAAAAGTACTGTACCTGTAAGAGGAAAAAAAATTTAATTATATATATATATATATATATATATATATATATATATATAT